CTGTATTAAAGCCCCAAAATGCAGAGCAACAAAATAAGTCAATAAAATCAGTGTTTCTCATCTGTAAAAGAAACACAAGCACAACATGTGCATATGCACATATACTCTCGTCAACATCATCGTCAAAAATCATCAGCACACAACAGGAAAAATGTCTTCCCCAAATCCTTCCCTATTGATTGTTTCTATGGGATTCTCTGTAAACATTTCTATGCCATCTTTTAATCTTTTCTCTAGCATTTTGCTGCAGCATTAGATAATCAAACAACCTTTAGCTCCACCTGTTATCTTTCCTTCTGTGTATCCCAGCAACCTCCCTTTGTTTTTTGAACACTTCTGTAATATCTCTTACCTTATATATATATATATATATATATATATATATATATATATACATACATAAAAATTGGTAAAGAAAATCAAGTTCTCTCAGTCACTGTGTGTTTATCTAAAAATAAATACGCTTAAATTCACCTTTGTTCCTGATATGTGCCAACAGCTTAGGGGCAGAATCTTTAACTGATGCTAATTTAGCTGGGTTTTGATCCTAGCTAGAGACAACCAGACATCTAACCACACTGATGAGCTGTGATAGAGCAAAACAGTTTGTCTGTGCATGGTAATATATATATATATATATATATATATATATATATATATTTATATTAGGGTTATGAAGTTTTTATAAATTAATTGATTTCTTGTATCATAATTTGATTAACCTTTGTTCAAAAATAATGAAGAAGGGTTTAGATTAAGTTTATTTATTAAAAAATGTCACCCCCACCCGACACATTTCTAAAATCATATATAAGCATAGTAGTACTATGACTTTCTGGAGTCTTCTCAAACTTTATGCAACCTTCTAGAAGTATTTGTTTATTTGTAAGTTTGTATGTTGTCCTATAGCTATAAACTGTTGAATGTGTTAAAAAATACATAAGTACTATCCAATTATATCATTAGTAAATTGAAAATTAAAACTTTTACAAGTTTGCAATTTTTATAAATTTCTATGTTATGTTATAGCAACTACATTAAAAAGTAATAACTAGTTACATTATTAGTAAATTGAAAAAAAAAGCTTATGAAATATTTTGATTTTTTATACTTATTGCATATATGGTTCAAGAACTAAGATAAATTCATGTCTTTTTCATTACTTTTGAACAAAAGTTTCTCAATTTATAATACAGGAACATAGGGTTACAAAAATGTCATAACCTGTTGTGTCGGAAACCTACCACCCCTCTTGAAGATGAACTTGTCTGCGTCTGTGAACAAAGACTTTAAATAGTGGCATGTCAGTTGACATGAAGAAGAGAGATAGCTCGACAGAAGTTCTTAGCTGTTATGATGTTGATTTGGGGTTAATAAAGACAAACGCCAAATAACACATAACAAATAAAAGGGGTTTATTCGGTTGGTAAGTAGGTACAGAAATTGCCTGAGTAGTCTATAACTAGCTCAGCCAAGAACTTCTCTGACTCTGTCTGTCTTTTGACATGCCGCTATTTAACGTCTTTGTTTGTAGACAAGTTCATCTTCAAGAGGGGTGGTAGGTTTCCTACACAACATTAGCTGAGCTAGTTATTGACTACTCAGGCGATTTCTGTATCTTTTTACTCACCTATTAAAACCCTTTTTATTGTTACGTGTTATTTGGCATTTGTCTCTACTAACCCCAAATCAACATCATAACATAACCCTAATATATATTAATCATTTCACTCCAAGCAAGGTAATAATGCCACTAAGAGACAAGAGGTTACTGCAAGTGGAAGAGAATGTGAAAAATTTGGTTTAGAGAAAGGACAATAAAAGAACAAGTTTCATGAAGAGAGAAAATAATAACTGGCATTACATTTAACGTTTTCATGTTTGGAGGTGGCAAGGAAACAAAAAAAAAAATCAGAAGAGTATTCCACAGGTGAGAAGTGCGAGAAAAGGAACTCTAAGAATAGAATATTTAGCTACATCTAGATAGTTCAATAGTAGAATGGGGAGACCTAGTTGCCAATCAAGTCATACACTTAAATTTATGTTGCTGAGGTACAAAATGAAGAGGGCCTGTTACATTGATTTTGATATATTCATTTTATATTGCAATATTAATATTTTTTTTTTTATTAATTTCTGCATTGTGTATGTATATTAACCCAGTAGACTCCCTGCGACATGCAGGGCCACGACCTTGCTATATTAGGCATTGCTGCTTGGTTTTCATAGCAAATAGGGCTTTATAAGTTAGAGTTGCTAGCCCAACACCCAACTGATTTGGAAGTCATAGATATTCTTTTACTGTCAATCAAGGCTAAAGAGTTTAGTCTACTTTATTTAACTCATAGCTGGAGAGGGGAACAAATCTATATCTTTCCAAAGGGTATTTGTGTGAAAGCAAATAAAATAGCTTTAATTTATACAAATGACTGTATGTTCAAATTAAAAAGAAAAAAACAATCTTATATAAATGAACAATGAAACAGGCTATCTTTGATTGCATATAAACCCATTTCTGATTTACAGACCTTTTTATCACCTAAGAAATAACTCAGATTTATCTCTTGTTTTTTTATATGCAAAGGTGAACTTTCTGATATGCTAATATTTAAGCTGACACAGAGTGGCACATAGGGACAGCAAAAGATGTCTTCCAGAAACTCAGCTAAATATCAAGAGAAAAGAAAATGTTGTTAGAAACAAAGAAAAGAATGTTGAACTGCCATGTGGTATCAATTTTCAATATGGCAATGAATCTTAGACAATTTCTGTTAAGGTGTTAAATAGCTCAAATGTAGATTTGCTACCCATCACAAGTATTGAACTCATAGCCTTCAGCTAATGTAAACTTGTGCTTTAATAAGATGACGTGTTCCACCTGCAATTCAAATGGGTTCTGCCCATTCAGTTGTATATAAACTTAGGGTTCTTTCACTGGGGAGGAATAGAAATCTATTTGCCTGGTGAAGTTATATCAGATTACATCAACAATTTCATAACAGATAAAGAATAGAGTTGATGCAAAAGAGATGTGGATCTATAGAAGGATGTTGAGTGTACCATGGACTGAATATGTAAGCAACAAGGAAAAATGGGAACAGAAAATCACTAGAATCAGAAGAAGGCAACTGTAATTTTTGAGTCACATAATGAGGAAAAGAAAGGTTAGAAAAATTTGATACTCCCAGGTCATACTGAGGGCAAGAAATTGCAAGTGATCAAGAGGAAAATAGTAAGTAACCTACCTAACAAGCTTGTGTAAATAGATGGTAGAACAGGGATTGGAAAGGATATTAACAAAATAATGCTCAGAGCCAAAACGAATTGGAAGTTGTGGAGAGCCATGATCACTCATATCCTGAATATTAAACATAAATGTTTGCAAGAGAATTTATATGTTATAAAATACAGTAGACGCATTGATATTTAATGAATTTTACAGCCATTTCTCATTGAAACACCAGTTAATCATTGGTTAAACAATGTTAAGCCTAGATGGTTGACCACTTAGGAATATTAGGTGCTGGAAGCTTGGATGTGCAGGTGGTGTAATGGATAATGGCTTGGGATGAGAAATTGGAGAGTAGAGTTCAAAATCCAGTTGAGTGTGTTACATTCACTTGCATAGAAATACTCTTGGGAAAGGTAAGAATCCATCTTTTCTCTCCTTATCTATGGGTTAAATAATAGAACTGAATGGGTGCTGTGGCCTGGGTTGGTGGCCATTCTCCTACAGAAACTAATGGCATCCTACTGTGGGAACTCTTCTGCCAAGTCAATATGGATTCATAAAGAGGCATGTATGCATCTTATTATGCATTTAAGGAAGGAAGGAAAGAACTTTTAATATGTTTTAACTTATTAGTTTTTGAAAATTCCAAAACTTCTTTAAGTTTTTATGGTAAGTTATGTTCACAATATAAATTTTTTGTGAAATTGGACTCTTACTTTGTGTTCATTATAATCTTGAGATATCTAGCTGAAAATTCCTTTCCCAGAATCCAAAGTTTAACTTTTTCTATGATTTGTTCTACAAAATTTTCCAGGAAATCAAAACTTTACAAATCATCTTATTGTACATTTGTAGCCAGATCAATAGTCACGAAGCGTCCATAAATGATATTTATTATTATTATTATTTTTTTTTTTTTTTAAGCATTTCACCCCAAGCAAGGTTACAAAGGATTTGGAGCGAGAGCAGATAGGAGTGAGAGGGGAAAGGATGAGGAAAAGGAGAGTGGACAGATCAAGGCAACTGGAGATGACGATTATTGACTTATTTCGTTATTCCTGTGTTTATGGCTTCAGTAAAAAAATTCATCTAAAAAAATCTTCCTACTTGAAATCTTTAGCAAAATCTGATGAGATATTTAAATTAAATATCATTCAAGAGTTCTTCATGGTGATGATCTCCAAATAAAGTATAATTCAATTCATAGATAATATCCATGATGTTTTATTGAAGCCAAAGTTCCTTTGATACTGCTTGAAGGAACTAGTTTAGAATTCCATCAGCAGGGTGGGTTTTCAGCTAGTTTATTTAGTTTCTTACTGAAGTACCACATTGCAAATTGATTCTCCAAGTGTGTGACTTAATTTGGGAAATAGGAAGAGGCTTACTCCTGCAGCAATGTCGGCCAACAATTCCATAAATCAAGTCAGCTTCTGTCATCTATAGAACTGCTTGAGAAATTTGAAGTTTTAGAGTCGAATACACACAGACATTTCTTCCAGCACTGAAATTTCACAGGTAAGCAAGTTGCATATCTTCATTAGGACAAGTAACTATAATATATATCATAGTCTCTCTCCCTCCCCTTTCCTCCCCACTCTCTCTTTCTCTCCATATATATATATATATATATATATATATATATATATATGTCTATGCAACATACATAATAGTTATATCATTATACAAAACAGTGTATATAATCTGTTCATCTATCTATCTATCTATTTATCTTATCTGTTAACATCTATCTATCTATCTATCTTAGTCTGTTCATATCTATCTATCTATCTTAGTCTGTTCATATCTATCTATCTATCTTAGTCTGTTCACATCTATCTATCTATTTATCTTAGTCTGTTCACATCTATCTATCTATCTTAGTCTGTTCACATCTATCTATCTATCTTAGTCTGTTCACATCTATCTATCTATCTATCTTAATCTGTTCACATCTATCTATCTATCTATTTATCTTAGTCTGTTAACATCTAACTATCTATCTATCTATCTATCTATCTTAGTCTGTTCACATCTATCTATCTATCTTAGTCTGTTCACATCTATCTATCTATCTATTTATCTTAGTCTGTTAACATCTAACTATCTATCTATCTATCTATCTATCTTAGTCTGTTCACATCTATCTATCTATCTATTTATCTTAGTCTGTTAACATCTAACTATCTATCTATCTATCTATCTATCTTAGTCTGTTCACATCTATCTATCTATCTATCTTAGTCTGTTCACATCTATCTATCTATCTATCTTAGTCTGTTCACATCTATCTATCTTAGTCTGTTCACATCTATCTATCTTAGTCTGTTCACATCTATCTATCTATCTATCTTAGTCTGTTCACATCTATCTATCTATCTATCTATCTTAGTCTGTTCACATCTATCTATCTATCTATCTTAGTCTGTTCACATCTATCTATCTATCTTAGTCTGTTCACATCTATCTATCTATCTATCTTAGTCTGTTCACATCTATCTATCTATCTTAGTCTGTTCACATCTATCTATCTATCTATCTTAGTCTGTTCACATCTATCTATCACCAAACCAAACTGAATATCTGAGGGGTGGAAACCATGATAGTTTAGTAACATTGTTATGCCTTTTTACCATATTTAAGAATATTTGCTCTATAGACTAAATATTTCTAATATCTACTGGAATTGGTCAATTTCAGAGTAGACTTTATCCTATCGTTGATTTATACAAGAGGATTTTTTATTATTTACACTATTTGCATTCAGACTATTATACTCATTTTTACTATTGTTATTCCGTCTCAGCCAATTAAAGCTCTGGTCTTCATCAGATATAGATCGATCTGGATAACTCTTTATTCAATCTACTGTAGTAGACTGTCCTCATTCCATTGCCCATGTTGGTTTATGTATCTCATCTAATTCTTATTTTTAGTACTGTTCAGCCTTTTACGCTGAGTCCAAGTAAAAACTACCTGGCCCAGGGATTGAACTCACAATTACTATGTTACCAGATTAATGAACCAACACTTTAATAGTATCTTGTCTATATTTCTGAGATGAGGTATTGTAACTATTTACATTGTTCAAACTGTTGTCCTCATCTTTAGTCATATTCATGATGTTTCAGCCATTCTATGCTCTGGCCGTCTTCAGGTGACATACATTGGAATTTCGAACAGAACACTTTATTTCATACACTGGGGTAGATTGTTCTAGTTCCACATGCCATGCCTTTTCTGGATATCTCAGTTTCTGTTATTTCCCTTTAGTAACTCCATGAATTTGTTCACCTCTGCTGAGGCCAGGTATTGAACTCATAATTCATTGGGTCAAGTCACTGGCAAGTGGAACTAGAACAATCTACCCCAGTCAACAAAATAAAGAATTCAGTTCAAAATTCCAATGTATATGCCTTGAAGAAGGGTTGGATTGTACAATGGCTGAAATGTTGTGAATATAGTAACAAAAATGAGATCAACAGTTCAAACAACATAAATAGTGCAACCAACTTTAAAAGTAATTGTGAGTTCAATCCTTGAACAAAGCTCATCAGGAAGTCAACTGCTTGGAGAGATTTCTGCAGCCTTTTCCTTTCTTTTACTCTCCCAGTAGATAATTCCTGATATCCAGAGTGTGCTTTTTTGTCTTTGTCATGTCAGTGGTGCTGACTCTGTAGTCTTTGGACATACAACGGCAAATGAGCAAGAAGTCATGTGTGGATCACCTTTTATGAGGTCATAGGACCATCTAGAAAAATTGTCGAACTTATGTAAATATGTAAAGTCAACAATTTTTATTTTGACAATTATTAAACTTTGATACTGTTACAAATGGTTCTTGGCTCAAATCATTTCTGTTGTGATGATTTTCTCATTTCTAGAATTTGAAATTTGAAATCTGGTTCTGTTTCTTCCATGATGAATTTACACGCATTTGATGAAATGATGACTAGTTTGTAGGTTACATATATTTATTTCCTGCACTAATATATATATATATATATATATATATATATATATATGTGTTGTCATCCACAAACTGACTATTTTGCTAGGATCAAAACCTGGCTGAATTGGCATCAGTTGGAGATTTTAACCCTAAGTTGTTGGTGCATGGTAGGGAAGAAAGTGAATTTTAAGTGTATTTATTTTTAGATAAACACACAGTGACTGAAAGAACTTGATTCCCTTTGCCGAAGAGTCTTGCATTATCAGCTGTAATAGTCACTGTTTACAAACTCACATTTCCTCCCCAGAGAACTCAATGAAATACTTATTATATTTTTTATATATGGATACAATAGTCTTTTTGTCTATACACACACACACACACACACACACACATATGAATAACCTGGACATATTATGTCTATTTTTTTTTAATCTTAATCCTTTTAAATTCACAGATTAATTTCTTAATGTTGTTATTAAACTGATTAAGGAAGAAGCTGTAGTTTTCCTCATTTCTTTTCTTTTCCCAAGTACTTTCAATCTCATCTAAGATCATCTTCAGAGGTGAATTGATAAGACAAAAATTAATGTAATTGATAGTTGTAAATTATTTTGTAAATAAGCATGAAATGTCCTGTTATAATTATGAACACACTACGTTATCATCAATTTAAAAATTAAGAGTTAAAAATAATATGCATACATGGGAGTTTATTTTTTAAATTTAAAAATTTTTTTTATTCAATTTGAATATCCCAAAACATTGCTTTTATAGGTATTTTAAGATATTGTTGCTCATAATTGATCTTATATTTAGTGGTAATTAGATTTTTTTTTATATATAGACTCCATATATGTTCAGATTATTCAACCAAACATGGTTGGATATAAATATGCTATATATATATTACTTTCTATCTACTTTTCAATTGTACTGCTTGATGCGTTCGGTGACTGCCATCATGGTATTAGGTTAAGATACAGGTCAACTAGCAAGTTTTTCAACATTCGTAAGTTTGCAGCAAAGACAAAAATCTTTTTAAGTTTAGTGCACAACCTTCTCTATGCTGATGACTGTGACCTGGTCGCACACAGAATTGAGCATGCCCAGGAGTTCATGGATCAACTATCAGGGTCATGTAAGGCTTTTGGACTGTCCATCAGCCCTGAAAAGACAGTGGTGATGTATCAACCTGTCTGAGGAATTCAGTATAAAGAGCCATCAATTTATGTTGATGGTAGTCGAATTGAGGTAGTAGACAAATTTGTCTACCTTGGTAGCACCCTCAACGGCCACTGCTCTCTTGACATTGAGATAGCATTATGGATTAAGAAGTTCCATGTCTAGAGTCAGAAGAGCATAAAAAAAGCAGACAAAAATTGTCATCTCTGCTATATTCACATGAGACGTGGTAGACTATCACAGACATGTGAAGATACTGGAACATTTTCCTCAACAATGATTTTGGTCTGTGCCTGAAATCTACCGTCTCACACTCTTGATATTGTTCTTCTACAAAGAGCCAATTCAATCTCTGTGGAAGGACTTATACACAAATGCAGATTGTGATGGACGGGCTACGTTATTCATATGGCAGATGACAGAATACCAAAACAATGTATGGAGAATTGGAAATGGGAAAAATACAGAAGCACAAGCCAAAACATTGTTACAAAGATTGCCTTAAAGAGTCACTATACAAGTGCTATATTGGTCTAGATAACTGGGAGACTCTAGTTGAAGACTGGGTTTCTTGGAGAGTCGGCATTTTTGATGGTGTCAAAATCTTCCATGAGACATCACAAAAACATACAGAACTGAAGAGTTGAGAAGGGATCTGTGAATTGCCATAAGGTGCCAACCTGGCCATGTGCCCAATGCAATCAGATATGTCTGTCTAAGGCAGGTCTGCTCAGTCACCAGAAATCACACCAACATAAACAGTCTATTACATATGACGATTTCGTAATGGCATGCTTTGAATGCTCGACCTGCACTAGGGTGTGCAAATCCATGTTGGGATTGACAAGGCACATAAAAAGACACATTGGAAGTGATCATGTTCAAAGTCAACTTCCACCACCCGGAGATGATTTGACATACCATATATGTAACAAGAAATGCAGATTGATGGCTGGCGTATGAGCCACTGTCGTTCACACAAAAAATGAATACAGTGTTGTGGGTGGGTGCTTAACTGATGTACTGGACATGCCAGTGACGGTCATGCTCGCTTTGTGAGTTGATAGCCACTATATATATATATAGTTTTAAAACTAGGAAACCATTGATTTTAATATTAAAAAGTCTCTAGAGCCCTTTCAGCCAACATCTCATCAGGAGACAATCGTTGGATTAGCGAAATGAATAATAGCTATATTGAAGAGCAAAAAGGGGGAAACACACTAAAATAACAAACAAGTATATATACTTGTAACGAGGGGAAGGGTTATCGTGTAAAATAAATAGCGAGGGACAGTTAAAATAAAATATCCCCAACAGATTTAGAGACCTTATAAATTCTTTCTGCCAGCAGAGAGAAGGTTTTCTAAATCCTATACAGACCGACTACAAAATCTTCAAATGATTATTGGAATCGGCTGTATGGATAATTCTAAACCACTCTTTTTTATACAACTTGGCACAAGCTATATTCTCAACTAAATGTTGAGCAATAGCTGATTCCATATTCATGGGGGGAAATAGCATATTCTATCTATCTTACCAAGTCGTATTTTGGAAGGAACGTGCTGATTAATTCTAGTTTCCAAATGCAAGGAATTTATAAGGTCTCTAAATCTGTTGGGGGATATTTTATTTTAACTGTCCCTCGCTATTTATTTACACGATAACCCTTCCTCGTTACAAGTATATATACTTGTTTGTTATTTTAGTGTGTTTCCCCTTTTTTGCTCTTCAATATCGCTATTATTCATTTTAAGCTAATCCAACGATTGTCTCCTGATGAGATGTTGGCTGAAAGGGCTCTAGACTTTTAATATTAAAATCAATGGTTTCCTAGTTTTTTAAAACTATTTATAAATTTTGTACCTCCAAACATTTGTTTATATATATATATATATATATATATATATATATATATATATATATATATATATATCTGTCAACCTAGACAAGTTTTCGTGCCAGAATTTAGATTATATATATATATATAAAATAAATCCTAAAGAGCCAGGGACAATCTATCTAGGTTTCACTAAAATGGATCTTCAGATATATATACTGTGTGATGCTAAACAATTTTTCTCACCAGAATCTTTCTTACATATTTATAATACTACCATTCCTTGTTTTGGATATTGTTGCCACATCTGGTGTGGTGCTTGTATTTAGAGATTATTGATAAAATCCCCAAAATTTTCAGCTTCAGTCACTTTCCCACCTCTGTAATGTATCTTCCCTGTGCTTTTTCTATAAATACTTTCATGGTAATTGTCTTGATGAACTTTCCTCAATGTTGCCTAGACTTTATGAATTGAAGTGCAGTACTAGATTGGCAGTAAGGTACTCATCATTTTACAGATGACATGGCTTGATGTAACCATAAGTTCTATGCTACCAGTTTCTTCTCTTGCACTTCTCGCTTGTGAAAATCACTTTCAG